CATTGAGGGTGGTGCGCTGGACGGCAAAGGCCTCGGCGATGCGGTGCCGGACATAGGTGAGTGCCTTGAGGGCAGGTGGCAGCGCTGGGGGCAGGTAGATGCTGGGGTAGAGGGCGGCTGAGGCGGCCCAGAGCCAGCCCAGCCGGTTGTTGCGCTGCACCTCTGCCGGCCGGCATTCCCCGGTGTAGTTGGCCTCCTTGGCCCAGTTGCCGTTGAGGCAGTCAGGGAAGCGGTAGAAACCCCAGAGCCCCTGCGGGCGCAGGGTCCGGCCCAGCAAAAGCGTCTCCTCCATCAGAGCCTGTGCTGCCTGCTCAAACTCCCGCCGGGCTAGCCGGAGCTGCCGCCGTGCCGGCAACAGGCCGTGCTGGTCCCGCACCCACTGCTCTGAGGCTGCCCAGTAGATCCGCTTGGCCCCCCCGTTTTGGGCCCAGAGGGGCCTCCACTCCTCCCAGTCCACCACGGCCAGGCCATGGAAAGTGGGCTGCAGGAGGAGGCGGATGTCCCCAGCCACCCTGGTAAGGTGCGCACTAAGGGGGACCCGCTGGGGGATGCCCCCGTTGCGGGGGACACCCTGCTGCGACAGGTAGGGGTACAGCCCAAACTTGTTCTTGTAGAAGATGGTGATGTTCTGGCCAGCGAAGCGGCCATCCTGGTTCTCCACGATACCGTAGTCACTGAGGGGCAGCTGCACGCCAAAGCGGCGCTGGCAGTGGCCAGAGGGGACGTTCCACACCACGGCAAAGGGCTGGCCACCCACCAGGGGCTCTGGTGCTGGGCTCTCCCCTCCAGCCATGCCCAGTGCCAGGCAGGCCCACAGTGCCAGTGCTGGCACCATCCTGTGTTGCTGGCTGCCCGCGGGGGCCGGCACCCTGCAGGGAAAGGAAAGTGGTGGGGGTGAGGTGGTGGGCTGAGGTCAGCCACAGGGGGGCCAGGCTGCCCCACAAGCATGTGCCGACCATGCCAAAATCCCATGGGACTGAGCAAACTTGGGGGTTTCAGACACCTCCTGCCTCACCATTGCCAGCAGGTTTTTGCCTGCTCCACGCTGGGGCACAGAGTCCCAGCCTGTGCTACGGCAGCCATAGTATGGCTCTGGTGTGACACTGCAAGCTGCCAACCCCAGTGCTTCAGTTTCCCTGCCAGCTCCTATCAATGCCCGTAGCGGGGGCACTGCAGCCTTCTCTTCCCCATTTTGACACAGGGCTGAGCCCTGCTGAGGGGCTGAGCCCCCCGAGAGGTGCGGTTGGGCCAGGCCAGGCAGGGCCAAAGGGGGCCGGGTGCCCCTGCCCGGTGCTGGCTGACCACCCAGGGTGAGGGGACTAGGCAGGGGACAGGCTTGGGTCCGCGTGATGCAGCAAGGACAGTGCTAATCCCCCGGCACGGGGCCCGGCTGCTCTCCCTGACCTTCCTCCTCCTGCTTGGTGCCTCCAGTCCTGGCCACTGCTGGCTGCCTCAGAGGGGGCCTGGCTGCCTGCCCTCCTCCTGGTGCAAGGCAGGGCACCCTGCAGCCCGTGCTGTCCTGCCCTACCCCCCCCACCAGGGCCCCTCCAGCCGTCATGCACCTCAGTTCCCCCAGGCTGCTCAGCAGGGAGAGCAACAGCCATGCTGGTGGGCACAGTGCACCATCAGCCCCAGCTGCCCCACAGAAAGTCCCCCAGCTGGAGGAGACACTGGTGGGACTGGGTGGCACTCTTGGGACCAGTCCCAACCCCAGAGCCTGAGATGGGCCTGGCTCCCTACCACGCTGGTGGTCCCAGGGCTCCAGCCAGGCGAGCCAGGGGTCGGGTGGGAGCAGAGCCAGTGCCAGGGCAGGGTGGGGTGTGGGGGACCGCCTCACCCTGGTAGTGGGGCCAGAGCAAAGCAGGGAGGCTGGGGAGCCAGTGCCAGCCCCGAAGAACGGCAGGCAGTCAGGCAGCACCAGGGCAGGCAGCCCCTGCCCACACTCGCTTTTAATCACTGGCTTGGAGCCCCAGCCCC